GAGCCAGATCATCCTCCTCCCCCGGATGTGGAAAGCTCACTCCGCGCCGAAACGCAAGCAGACCCCTTGTTGCAGCGGCAATGGTCTTAGGGGTGAGGGCCTTGAACCCTATACCCTATATAAGCCCTATATAAGCCCTTTTTCAACCCTAAATAAAACCCTATATAAACCCTATATAAACCCTAAACCCAAAACCCTTTTTTGGGCGCTGCTTCCGAGTGAAGTCGGGGCTGAGGGTCATGTAGGAGAATCGATCTGCGGGAGCTCTTATTGCCACACCCTAAACCCCAAACCCTAAACCCTAAACCCCGCGAGCCCTATGCAGCTCTCATGACCAGAGTCCTGAGCCCTGAACTTTCCCGACTTTAGGGTCGCAGAAATCGGGTTCAGTATGTTTGGGGTTCAGGGTTTGGGGTTTAGGGTTTAGGGCTTAGGGTGAGCCACGGAAGCACTTGGCATGAACAGCTCTCGCCCGTCCTGTTGTTGACGGTGCGCGGGGTGCCATCTTTGAGCACCCGACATGCTGGCACATCGTTACGTCATGTTCAGGGGGATTAGGGTTTAGGGTTTAGGGTTTAAGGTTAGGGTTTAGGGTTTAGGGCTCAGACCCCCCCTAGAAGCAACGCCTATCCGCTCCCAATTTTGAGGGGGCCGGGGTTCTGACACTAGTGGACCCAGTGGCTGGGGAACTTCGGTGGGTTGCGCTGTGAAGCGCTCAAGGGTTAGGGTCCTGGGGGTCTTAGGGACTAACTAGGGTTAAAGCCGACCCTTTTCCAAGACGAGAGTTTAAGGTCTGGGCTTGTTTTTGAAGGTTTGGCGTTTGAAGCCTTGAACCTTGAACCCTAAACCCTAAACCCGAAACCCTAAACCCGAAACCCTAAACCCTGAACCCTAAACCGGGCTTTGGACTTTACATGGGCTAGGCTTCCACATCGGCCGCTCTGTGTACAGCCCCGTGGGAGGCAGCGGCCGCAAGCACGCGACCTTGCGAAGCGAGATTGGGGTTTAGGGTTTGAGGGTTTTAGGGTTTAGGGTTTAGGGTTTAGGGTTGAGGGTTTGAGGGTTTGAGGGTTTGAGGGTTTGAGGGTTTGAGGGTTTGAGGGTTTGAGGGTTTGAGGGTTTGAGGGTTTGAGGTTGGGATGTTCCCCCTTAAGATATACTGTCCTGAATAGGGATTATAGTGCCCCCTATGAGAATCCCTACTAAGGACTGTTAGTATAAGCCTTATACTATAAGGGGGAACATGGGGTAGAGTGTAGAGCACAGGGTTTCAGCTTCATTTTCGGATTTCCGGGTGGAGGATGGCCTGTGGAAGCTGCTTAAAGTTTACTCAACTGCTCTTAGAGCCCGCCGTACAGTGGTTTGCCTACTTCGGCTTGTCAGCCCTCCACCCCCACCCCCCGAAACAAAACAAGAAAACTAAAAAAACAAAACTAAAACTGAGCCCATTGTGTGTGTTCTTCTACATGGGTGTTGCATGTCAGTCTCGATGCACTGCACCCCTAAAGCCTAAACCCTAAACCCTAAACCCTGAATCCTAGGCCCCTGAGGGTGGCCGCACTGTTCAGTGTTGCCCTAGCAAGGCGCGTCCATAAGACCGCCGATGGCTGGCGGGTCGGGAGGTCCACTTGAAGTCAAATTCATACATGCGCTTGCCATCAACCCCTAAACCCTAAACCCTAAACCCTAAACCCTAAACCCTAAACCCTAAACCCTAAACCCTGAACCCTAAACCCCAAACCCTAAACCGAAGTATAAGTCCCGCCCCCGGCATCGTGAGACTGAAAACCCCATGGAAACCCTCATAAGGTGCCGAAGCCATCAACCCTTATGCACCCTGAAGCCCAATAACACCCCTGTAACCCTAAACCCTAAACCCTTCTTGAACATTGTAAGCCCCAAAACCCGACAAAACCAATCTGAAAACCCTATGAAAACCTAAGAAAAATGAACCCTATGAGCCCTTCCTAAACCCTAAACCCTAAACCCAAACCCTAAACCCTAAACCCTGGCCCCATGCAGGGCAAGACGCTGAGCACGGGATGCTGGGACAGGAAGCCTTGGCTCTTCAGCTAAGGGCTTGGGCTTCGGGTTTAGGGTTTAGGGTTTAGGGTTTAGGGTTGGGGTTTCTAAAGTTAGGACTCAGGGTTCGTGGTTTAGGGTTTAGGGTTTAGGTTGATTAGGGCCCGTCCTGAGACTGTGCACCCTGAACTGCGGTTGCAGGGCCACCCGAAAGCGAAGAGCCAGAGTCCATGAAGGTTTGGGTCTCTCAGGCCGCAGACACCCTTGAGGGGTTCGGGTTTGTCCAGGGCTTAGGGTTTAGGGTTTAGGGTTTTGGGTTTTGGGCTTTGGGTCTTGGGTTTAGGGTTTAGGGTTTAGGGTTTAGGGTTTAGGGTTTAGGGTTTAGGGTTTAGGGTTTAGGGTTTAGGGTTTAGGGTTTAGGGTTTAGGGTTGCCAAGTCGCTCTCGGTACCGAAGATGACGAGGTGGCGACGGGCCCGGGACCTCAGTCGGGTTTGGGCTTAGGGCTTGGGGCCACTGTACTTTCAACCTAGTAGCGTAACACATAAATCTACTTAGCTTCTTAAGGCATATTACCAAAAAAAACGAATAACCCTTAAGTAACCCTCAGCTTCTTAAGGCATGTATCAAAAAAAGAATAACCCTGAACCCGAAAATCCCGAACTCCAAGCCCCGGAGCCCCAGAAGAGCTGCAGGCTCATACGCAAGCCCTCAGAACGCGCGGGGATTGTTTGAGGCACCGAGGGCTTCGCGGGCTATTTAGGGAATAAAGGGTTCAGGATTTAGGATTTAGGGTTTAGGGTTTAGGATTTAGGGTTTAGGGTTTAGGGTTTAGGATTTAGGGTTTAGGGTTTAGGGTTTAGGGTTTAGGGTTTAGGGTTTAGGGTTTAGGATTTAGGGTTTAGGGTTTAGGGTTTAGGGTTTCGGGTTTAGGGGTTGACAGGGTTTCAGGGTTAGTTGGAGCGTCCGGTCCGAACCCTGTGCCAAGCAGCAGCGCGACGTTCAGCCGACGTGGGCAGCAGGCGAAGGGGTCTCCAGTGCCCACCGGTGAGGACCCTGGTTTCCAGTGCCGAGTGCGGGGGTTAGGGTTTAGGGTTTAGGGTTTAGGGTTTAGGGTTTAGGGTTTAGGGTTTCGGGTTTAGGGTTTGTGGTTTTTTGCGGTTTAGGGTTTGAGGTTTAGGGTTTAGGGCAAAAGGTTGACGGCTGTGGGAGAAGGGGGTTGGGGCTTAGGCAAGTAGGTGGCTTCAATTCTTTTCAATGTCCCATCAGAAGGAACCCAACTTTTTTGACATGTCTACTAAATAGCATCCAGCTGCAACAGTCAGATGGGGATAGGAATCCCTATGCTCCCACGTACGCGCATTCAAGGGCGACAAACCTTGATAACCCTTGCCCCCACTGAAGGAGCCCACTACAACATTGGGGGTCTGGACTTTCCATGCTAGGCCATCAGCCGTGCAATGTCCCAACTCTCCCCAAACCCCCAAACCCCCCAAACCCCCAAACCCCTAAACTCCTAAACAACCCCCAAACCCTAAAGACTGAACTCCGAAACCTCAAACCCTAAACCCTAAACTCCTAAACCCTAAACTCCTGAACCCCGAACTCCTAAACTCCTAAACTCCTACACTCCGAAACTCCTAGAACCATTTAAGCTTTTGACCAAGGCACGCCCACAGCAGAGGGCTACTGCTTCGCGCTCGCCCCCCTGGAACGCATCGACCGTTGCAACCTCCACATCTTTGGAGACACCTCCGTGCGCATCAGGGCTTAGGGTTTCTAGGGTCCCCTAAACCCTAAACCCTAAACCCTGAACCCTGAACCCTTAAACCCTCTAAGAGTAAGGCTCAGGACAGCACGTCTTTGCGCCCAAAGAAGACTCCGAAGTTTACCTACCGGCTCGGCTAAAACCAACTCCTTAGCTTTAAACTCCAAAGGCCTATTCAGGGCATAGGGTTTAGGGTTTAGGGTTTAGGATTTAGGGTTTAGGGTTTAGGGTTTAGGGTTTAGGGTTTAGGGTTTAGGGTTTAGGGTTTAGGGTTTAGGGTTCAGGGTTTAGGGTTTAGGGTTTAGGGTTTAGGGTTTAGGGTTTTGGGCGCCCCTACTTCCCGACTCAGCTACGAACCCGACAGTGGACCCAATTGGCTCTGGGCCCCGCTTTCAAGGCTGATGGGCAGCTATAGTTCTGATACAGGGTTTGGGGTTTAGGGTTAGGGTTTAGGGTAAGTAGGGTTTAGGGTTTAGGGCTTAGGGTTTAGGCTTTAGGATTTAGGGTTTAGGGTTTAGGGTTTGGTCCATTCCAACTGAAATCCTATTCTTTGATGTCGCCAGCGAAGCTTGGGGCTCAGGGCTCAGGGTGTATGATTTAGGGTATAGAGTAGAGGGTAAATGGTAAATAGGGTTTAGGGTAAGCAGGGTTAGAAGTAGTGTTACAGGTAGGTTACGAAGGGTAGCTGTGGTGATAACCCTATCATCCCTATCTCGGGGCCCACGAAATGAAACCCAAACCCTACACCCCAAACCCCAAGCCCTAAACCCTAAACCCCAAACCCTAAACCCTAAACCCCAAACCCTAAACCCTAAACCCCAAACCCTAAACCCTCAGCCCCAAAACCCTAAACCTGGGTCTGCAAGCCCGGAGCCCACCTCGCGCACTTTGCGCACAGGCCTCTGCGTGAGGCCGGTAGAGGCAGATGATCCCGAAGTCCTGGGTTGGGATTTGGTTCAGGGTTTGGGGTTTGGGGTTTGGGGTTTGGGGTTTGGGGTTTGGGGTTTAGGGTTTAGGGTTTAGAGTTTAGGCTGTAGGGTTTAGGGTTTAGGGTTTGGGGTTTGGGGTTTAGGGTTTAGGGTTTAGGGTTTAGGGTTTAGGGTTTAGGGTTTAGGGTTTAGGGTTTGGGGTATAGGCCTTGGGGACTACAGGTTTTCGCCTCGGTGCTTCACACGGATTTGTGGCATCCCTTTTCTTGGGCTGCGCAAGTACTAGGCTCCAACATCCTGGCTTTTAAGGTTTAGGGTTTAGGGTTTAGGGTTTAGGGTTTAGGGTTTAGGGTTTGGGGCTTAGGGCTTAGGGTCAGGGTTTAGGGGTCTGAGACATTGGGCCAGAACCCGCGGACAAAGCCCCAGAGCTCCACACCCCGAAGCAAACCCCAAATCAACCTTAAGCCACACACCTATGCTGAACTTAGGTGCATTCCTTAAAACCGAGGGTACTAGGGTCCTGGACATCCCCTGAACCCTAAACCCTAAACCCTAAACCCTAAACCCGCAAACCCGCAAACCCTGTGAGGCGTAAACCCTGATTCGGAAAAACAGCTCCCCATCGTCGCCTTCGGCTGCAACCGCCCGCAGCCGGCCGCGCGCTTGAGCCAGGCGGCGCACAACTGCGCCTGTGCAAAGCTTCTGGCTTAGGGTTTAGGTTTGGGGTTTAGGGTTTAGGGTTTAGGGTTTAGGGTTTAGGGTTTAGGGTTTAGGGTTTAGGGTTTAGGGTTTAGGGTTTAGGGTTTAGCGTTTAGCGTTTAGGGTTTAGGGTTTAGGGTTTAGGGTTTAGGGTTTAGGGTTTAGGGTTTAGGGTTTAGGGTTTGGGTTTAGGGTTACTTGGGGGGGTGGGATGGATTAGGGGTTTCGGGCTCAGGGGCTTCAGGCTTGGGGCCGAAAAAAGCTTCTCAGGGTCGTTGGTCACTGAGTATTGGGGGAAACCCCAACGACCCTGACAGAGCTTAGGCCGCACCCTAAACCCTAAACCCTAGACCCCTATGAACCCTAAGAGCCCTGAAAGCTGCCTCGGTGTCGTGCCGAAAGGACTGGCCCACGCGCGTCTCCGGACCTCCCGTTTCGGGCTTTTCGGGCTTTGGGTGGGGCTCATAATCGTGTCGGGCTCAGGGTGTTTGGGCCTGTGTCTGTCGGTCTGTCTATCTCTCTCGCTCTCTCTGGTCTCTCTCTCTCTCTCTCGGGATGGGGGGTGGGCCTCCAGCGAGAGCTTTAGGATGCTCTGCTTGAAAGCTCATGGCATGGCTGGTTTTCAAGTAGGTTCAGAAGTGGGGGTCGCGCTGCGTCACTGAAAGAACTTCTTGGAGCTAGAACAGCGCAGCCCCGAGAACCTTGAACAATACACCACTCAACCCTTATAACCTCGCATAAACCCTTACAACGCCCGTAAACCCTTCTAAAAATCGTATAGATAAATCCTTCATAAGCCCCTACTAAACCTCACAAGCCCTTTTAAGCTCACAAACCCTTGTACCCCCTATCAAAACCTTGAGATGACTCCGAGCACCTTCGCTGAGAACCACCGCCAAGGGCGCAGCTGTCGGGCCGAGGCCCGAGGTGCGCTCCTACAGGGCACCCTATGGTTGGAGCCATTGGGCCCTTAGGTTGGTCCCCTTTTTTTGGTGGGATCCCAAGTAGGGGCCCCTTTACTCTGTGTAGTGTCTATAAGGGTTCTAGAGAGTAAGTTGGGCCCCAAATGAGGCGCCCCATGCTTGGAGCGCGGCTTAGGGTTTTTAGGGGGGGTTCGGGTTGAAGGGGCAGCCGTTAGAGGCCCGCAGGCAGTGGGGGCTTTGGGAGTTTAGGGGTCTGGCGCGGGTTGCGGTGGTGATGGTAGTGGTAGTGTGCAGAGAGGTAGCAGAAAATAATGGAGTGAAGAGACGACGCATACGATCGCAAGCAGCTTCGCGATTAGCATCTGAGCCCCGATCTTGACTAAAACCCTAAACCCACGAGCCCTGAATCCTGGAAAAGCTGAACCCTGAACCCCAAAACCCTAAACCCTATAGCTTGGGACGTCCGTTATACTAACCGTCCTTCATATGGATTATAGTAGGGGGTACGATAATCCCTATTCAGGACTGTTAGTATAAGGGGGAACATCCCAACCCTAAACCCAAAACCCTAAACCCTAAGGGGTAACATCCTTTTTTTTGCCCATCTCGGGAAGTTGTCCCCTGAAATCTGCTGTGGCCTCGGCCGTGACGCCCGACTGAAGGGCGCCGTTGTAGAACAGCTGGCTGCACAAGCCTCGGTTTAGGGTTTGGGGTTTAGGGGTTAGGGGTTAAGGTTTAGGGTTTAGGGTTTAGGTAGGGTTTAGGGTTTAGGGGTTAGGGTTTAGGGATTAGGGTTTAGGCTTCAGGCTTTAGGCTTTAGGCTTTAGGCTTTAGGGTTTAGGCTTTAGGGTTTAGGGTTTAGGGTTTAGGGTTTAGGGTTTAGGGTTTAGGGTTTAGGGCTAGTGTTAGTATAAGGGGGAACCTCCCGAAACCTAAGCTTCAAAATCAAAGATAATGAAAAAAAGTGCACCAGGCTTCCGAGAAGCTGGCGATGGCAGGGTGGCACCTGACATGGGTGAGCCACAAACCCTACCAAAACCTAAGGCGAACACGTAACACCACGAAAACCCGAAACGCCCTATGAGGACCATGTACGGACTCCCTAAGCCCACACAATAACATATACAAGCGCACAGAAAGCGCAATCTTCCACAGACTCAAATGCGCCTTGATGAAGGTTTCGGGTCTAATGCCCCTAAGAAACATGTCTTCCTTAGATCAGAGTAGGGCGCCTGTTGTAACGACCCCTGAAGCCTCCGTACGATAAATTGAAGGTGGTTCTCCAAATAAGACCAACCCCCAAATCCCAAAACTAAAGCCTCAAAGCCCCAAAAAAGTGAACTCTGAACCAGACGCACAAAACCAAACCCCCCTCAAAAAAAAACACACACACACACACAAGCACAAAAACAAAAACACACGCACATATATATGATCCCGGTTCTCGGTTCGCCACCCCCCCCCCCCCCAACCCCCCTAAAACCTAAACCCTAAACCCTAAACCAAACCCTAAAACCCTAAACCCTAAAACCCTAAACCCTAAAAAAACCAACCCACAACCACACCACGGGGGGGGGGAACCCTAACCCTAAACCCTAAAAACCCTAAAACAACCCTAAACCCTACACCCTAAACCCTAAACCCTAACCCCTAAAACCAACCCACAACCACACCACAGGGGGGGGGGGGGGGGGGACCATTGGGGGGGGGGGGGGGGGGGGGGGGGGGGGCAGGCCGCACCCGCATCATATATATATATATATGTATAGTAATAAGAAGAAGAGCAAGAAGAGGAAGAATGACATTAAACCTTCAACCCCCAAGGCCCTGTGTACCGGCGGGGCTTTTGGTGTCTCTGGGCCTAAACCCTAAACCCTAAACCCCAAACCCTAAACCCTAAACCCTAAACCCTAAACCCCCTTCGGCGGCCATCTGCCTGAACTGCGTCGCAAGCTCCAGGCAGATCGCGACTTCTGGGTTCCAGAGCCTGGGCTTTTTTTTTCGACTATTTGCTTAAGAACCCCCCCCCCCCCAAAAAAAAAAAAAACAGGTTTTTTTCCTACTGTTTGCTTAAGAACCCCCCAAAAAAAGTATAAATCATCCCCCTCTTACCCTTGTGAGGAAGAACGTTTCTCATTTTATGTGGGTGGCTTTAGGGGGGCTTAGGGGTCCATAGGGGTTTAAGAGGGCTTGAAGGGGCTGCGTGTTTTGAGGTTTCGGGCTCCGAGTTTTCGGAAGTGGGGTCTGAGGGCTTGCGGGGTTTATAAGAGATTCGGGTCGAAGGGGCGTAGGATTTTTTAGGGGACTGGGGTGGGTAAAAAAGGTTTAGGGTCTGAGGGCTTTGGGGCTTCAGGGCTTCAGGGTCAAATTTAGGGGCTTCTTGATTTGGGGTGCAGGGTTTGGGGACTCGGGCTTCGGTATTACTTCACCATTGTATTAGTATATATATATATATATGCATGGTATGTCCTTTCTACTTTGTTAAGAAAATTACTATGTCATTATGTTAGTGCAATAGCTTTCAGGTTTGCTTCTTAATGGTTTCAGGCTTTCGGTGATTCGGGCGCAACCTCGGGCTTTCCGTTCGAGGGCTTTGTGGGGGTGTTTGGTCTTCAGAATTTTAGGGTTTAGGGTTTAGGGTTTAGGGTTCTGGGGTTTTCGGGTTGTAGGGTGTTAGGTGTTAAAGGTCAAATGTCTTGGGGTTCTTGGGTTTTTGGGCTTTTGAGTTTCAAGGTGTGGGGCGGGTTTAGAGTTTAGGGTTTAGGGCTGTACCAGAAGGTTCATGAGTTCAGGGTTTAGGGCTTTACCAGAAGGTTCATGGGCAATTTAACTGGGGTAAGAACTAGGGTAACTGTGGCTATGACCCCATCCGAATCCTCATTCTGCAAGGAGAGGCCACCACCCTGAAACCTGACCCTAAACCCTAAACCGCCCTAAAGTTCCCAGCACGCCCGACAGCAAGATCCAGGGCACCGTTCCAAGGCCGACTGCTGCAAGGGCGCGTGCCTGCAGCTGCGGGGGACTTAGGGTCTCTGAGAGAAGAATCCATAACGTATGAAGATGTATCCCTATGCATAGGAATATACAATACCATCTGCATTAACATTACTATATAACAATAAAGATAATATAACACAATAAATAGCAATAAGAACCATGATAATCATCATCATCACCACCACCACCATCATCATCATCATCATCACCGTCAGAATCATAAGAATCATACGAGTAGCAAAAAGAAGAACAGCACCAGCAAGAACAATAATCGTAGTGACAATATTATACAACGGTTCAAAATATTCGTCCATAGAAAAAAACGTAGGAGAGACGACGTTTTGTGAGGGGGCCGACAATTATCGCGCTGCCCAAAGCACGCCGAGGCGCAGTGTTCTCGGTGGAAGTTGCCGCGGATCCCCCACCAGCATCACTTGCTCCGCACGCGCCTCAAACCCTGAACCCTAAAGCCCGAAAACCCTAAACCCCAAACTTTGCCTTCAACCCTCAACCCTGAACCCTAGACCCTCAAGCCCTACACCCTCAACCCCTAAACCGTGGCTGCTAGAACCTTGGAGCCTTGCCTGTGACAGCCGGAACCCTAAACAACTTACACGCCCTAGAAGCCTTCACCCTTTGACTCAGGATCTCCTCTTGCGGTAGCAGGCTACGCTTCATGCACCCTTATGAAAGCTGAGTACCAAACCCCGAGTGAGTGTCCTCAGGACACTGTTGATCTTGTGTAGCCCGTGCCATTCTCAGTGTTTCAGTCGCCCCCCCCCCAACTCCAGTTGAAAGTATCCTGAAAGCGGCAAAAAAAAAACAAGCCCCAGCGGAGGACGTCTTTGGACAGCCTTGTACAAAGCGTAGAAGACAGCCGGCTCCTGCGGTTGGGGGTCTGTATGTGGGGCCCTTTGCCCTCTGCGGTTTCCAGAAGTCCGTTTAGTTCAGAGAGGGCAGCATGAGCCAGGCACGACTAAGGGCCGTAGGAGCTTTAAGAGGGCTTAGGGTTGAGGATTGAGGCTTTACTCTTGGTATCCCCACAGGGGCACGGAGCACAAACACACTCCCCGTAAGTTGTAAGGAACACTGCCTCCACTCATCAAAACCATTCGGATCTTCTAACATGCCCACCCTAAAGCTAATGTTGGCGCTCCCTGGGCCCTACTGGATTCGGAGGTCGCGTGCTCTAGGGATATTAATCTCTGCGTGATTCTCAGAGGTTGAAAGCATTGCGGCCTCTAGGGGGGGAGGGGGGGGGGAAGGGGAAGGGAGGGGGCAGGGAAAACTTAGAATATTTGGTGAGCCTGAACCCCGACCCCCCCCCCCCCCCCCCCCCCCCCCCCAAAAAAACAAACCCAACCCCCCCCCCCCCCGCTAACCCGCCCAGAAGAAGCTCGCTCCGTGAGTTGTGAGGCTTCGTCCACAAGGACGAAGGGGCAATGCAGAGCCTCCTGGCCTTGAGAAAAGCTGAGGGTTTCGGGTTGAGGGTTTAGGGTTTCGGGTTTCGGGTTTGGGTTTTAAGTCGAGGGCTTGGGGTTTACAGTGGGCTTTGGGGTTGAAGGCTTCGGGTTCTAGCATCCCAAGAAGAAAGACACCCCAGGCATACACTCTTCGTAAGGAACCGTACACACACATTGACTTCTATATCCAGTTACCAAGAAGCGAGGGACGACAAGTATCTGAGTTTCCCTTTTTGTTACCAAAAAATCAGCTGGAGGAAGGATGGAAGAAGAGCGCAAGCAACGAAGGATGCCCAACCTCCCCCCCGAGGCTTGCGCCGAGGTCTGCCGCCTCCAATGCCGCCGTCGTCACGGCCACCAGGCGCCTCCGCGCTCGACGTGAGGGAAGGGGGATCTTAGGGTTTTTCTTTCAAGGTTTTGGGGGTTTAGGGTTTAGGGTTTAGGGTTTAGGGTTTTGGGTTTTGGGTTTTGGGTTTTGGGTTTTGGGTTTTGGGGTTTTTCTGGAGCGTTAAAGGCTTTAGGGGTTTGGGGGGATTCTTGGCGTTCGGTTCTTGGGATTAGACTGGGTATGGCGTGGGGGGTTGTAGGGTTTGGGGCTTCGCCGTGAGGAAAGGGTTTGGGGTTTCGGGGTTTCGGGGTTTCGGGGTTTCGGGGTTTAGGGGTTTAGGGGTTTAGGGGTTTAGGGGTTTAGGGGGTTTAGGGGTTTAGGGGCTTAAAGTTTAAGGTTCAAGGATGGTCGAGGCAGGCTCCCAGATTTTGAAGACTTTGGCGCCCTCACGGGCCATAAACTACAGCCTAACCCTCGAAACCCTGAAATACTCAAGCCTCAAGCCCTCGAGCCCTCAAGCCCTCGAGCCCTCAAGCCCTCAAGCCCTCAAGCTCTCAAGCCCTCAGGCCCTCAAGCCCTCGAGCCCTCCAGCCCTCAAGCCCTCAAGCCCTAAACCCTGAACCCTAAACCCTAAACCCTAAACTCTAAACCCTAAACCCAAAGGCCCGAAGTACTAAAGTGCGCGAGAGAAGAAGTGGCCTGTCCTAACCCGAAACCCTCAACCCTCAACCCTCAACCCTCAACCCTGAACCCTAAACCCTCCCCCCCCCCCCCCCCCCCCCCTTCCCCCCCCCTTCCCCCCCCCCCCCCCCCCCCCCCCCCCCCCCCCCCCCCCCCCCCCCCGGCTGCCCCCTGCCCTTGCAGCTGCCTCCGCCTCCAAGCTGCGGGCCTGGGGATGGTTTAGGGTTTAGGGTTGAGGGTTTAGGGTTTAAGGTTTAAGGTTTAGGGTTTAAGGTTTAGGGTTCAGGGTTCAGGGTTCAGGGTTCAGGGTTCAGGGTTCATGGCTTAGGGCTTAGGCCTCAGGGTTTTCGTTTGTGTGCTGCCGACTGTCTTTCGCAACACAAGAAAAATGTCTGGCGCCTTTTCGGGCTTCTGGAACAGGGGCGGTGTGGTTGAGGTAGTGGTTGTAGCATCTTTTTGCTTCTTCTGAGACTAGCTCGAACCAGTATCTGCTGGGGCGTCCTCTATGTCGTGATTTAATGAATTTGACACGGCCTTTGTATCTGGGAGAGAAGACTACTTGGTGTATTGGGTCTGCGGTGTGAGCATCTATGGGACTCGGTAACAATGGAGGGGAGAGGAGGCTTTCCTGTCATAATCCAAACCTTGCAGCTTAAGATTCTTGAGCAGTAAGATGACTTGAATTTGATTGATCGCCTGAGATATCTATGGTGCAAACCATCGGGGTTAGGGTTGGGGTTTAGGGTTTCGGCCCTAAGGCAACTTAGGATTAGCTACGGATTTGTTCAAGTAACCCGCAACAAAAGCGGCAGGTTCGGCGGTTAACGTTGTCTTATCGTTCTGTGGGTTTGGGCGTGTCCTACCCTTGATCGTCCCTGAATGTGAAAACGTGCCAACCCCCCTCCCCCCACCTGCCCCTCGAACGCCCCGTACACCAAAAGCTTAACTTTAAGAGCGTCACCAACCCCGAAATCCCAAATGTGATAACCCTTAAACCCTAAACCATCAAACCCCTAAAAACCCCTAGAAACCCCTAGAACCCCCAAAACCCCAAAAAACAACCCAAACCACCAAAAAAACCCTCGACCCGACAACCCCTAAAAATAACTCTCAAAAGTTGAACCCGGAAACCCCCAACACCCTAAACCCTAAACCCTAAACCCTAAACCCTAAACCCTAAACCCTAAACCCGCCGTTCGGCTCCCCGAGGCGCTTGGGAGGAAGAAGCCCGCGGTCGATGGCTGACTGCAAAGCCTCGCGCAGCTCAGGGCTCCATTTCGGGTTTAGGGTTTAGGGCGTAGGGTTTAGGGTTTAGGGTTTAGGGTGTTCAGGGTTCAAGGTTTGGGGTTTAGGGTTGAGCGTTTTTAGGGTTTCAGGGTTGAGGGTTAAAGGTTTAAGGTTGGGGGTTAGGGCTTCAGGGTTGGAGGCTTGTTTTGATGTCGCGGCGGCAGTGAACAATGTCAGACGACAAGGGTACCACACGCCCTGCGTCTACGTGCGCAGGGCGCATGAGCGCAGAGCGCCTGACACCCTAAGCTTGCCCCAAACCCTCAGCCTCTCTTTCACATTTTCATACATATATATATATATATGGTCACCCCCCGCCCATGATCTAGGTTTTTTTTCCCTATGAAAACCCTCGTAAATACGGATAAAAATGACATGCTGAGCATGCACGGCAAAGTCCTTTTCAGCAAGTCTAATTTTATGTTTGAAAACCTGTATATAGTACGAAACGCGTGTGTTTAGCACTATCTGCACGTCATCACCTAAAATCAAAAAAAGCACGAAAGTGTAATTTCGTGAACATCTGTGAAAATTATTTGTATATAGGGCAAGACTATAAACACAGAGTATGCAACAAAACACTTTCTGTGCACATTTTGCCCAAAAAACAAAAAGCCAAAAACCTAAACACTCAAAACAAACCATGAAGCCGGGACACCGCTTGTTTTTGCTCTTTTTTTCTCGAGGTTTTTTGGGGGTTCTTTGGAAAAATCCAAAAAAAACCATGTGCTTTGTTGATGTCAGGTGTTCCTGGCCTCAGAAATCAAATAAACACATGGCATTTTGGGATTTTCACTCATCCAAAAAACCCTCGTGTTTTTTTGGATTTTCAACCCTGCGGAGAGTAAAATCAAAAAAACACATGTTGGCGGGATTTTTATTCAAAATCCACAAAACCTCGTTTTTTGGATTTTCCCCGCATGCCCCAGACGGAGCGGAGACACTCTCAAGTTCACCATCCCTGCTATATATATATATATATATCTCTCTCTCTCTCTCCCGCTCTCTCTCTCTCCCTCTCTCTCTCTCTCTCTCTCTCTCTCTCTCTCTCTCTCTCTCTCTTATATGTGTGTATGTATTCCACAGGCGGAAGCAGGGCAACTCGCGCTTTTTGCAGGCGTGCAGCAGCTGCGGCTTGAGCGAGCTGCTTTTGGCGCCATTGGCGCTTCCGCGCGGCTTCCATCGCCCGACGGGCCGCAAGCTTGTTCTCGGCCTTCTCGGGACAAGCTTCCTCCAGCTCCCGCACGCAGCGCAGCTCCGTGGCCTGGCAGTCATATTACATGCTACTTCGCGCGTCTACCCGCCTGCGTTTCCCACCACGAACTCATAGATGGCGCGCAGCGTTTGCGCGGTGAAAGATGGCCTGAGCTCTGCCGCGCGCTTGCTTCGCCCGTGCTCCACATGCACAACTATGCCCGAACGTGCAGCCTCCGGGCCGTCTGCAACATGCTCTCTGCTTGGAGCGTGTTCCAAAAGCCTTATAAGTCGTTTCCGACCAGACGCTGGGGCTTCTTTCTTCTTCATGTCCCGCAGCTCCCACATCGGCTCCGTTCGCTGGAGGTGACGCCGCACGTCGGCCCAGTCCAGCTCTGCTCCATGTGCCTCCCGGAAGCTGTGAAGGAGCTCTTGGGAGTGCGACTATCGTGGGACCTCAGGGTGCCACATGACTCGGGATGCTTCGGTCTGGGACGTCGGCGTCATTTCTTTCTTCGCGCGGCGCCTCAAAGCCGACACGTAGGGTCCCACCACGCACACTGAGGGCTTGAGCCCGTGGGGCCACTGCCGTCCAAACGGTCCCAAACAAGGACTTCCCATTCACCTGCCAGGGTTTTCGAAGCCTGACGAAAGGCAAAGGATGACCCAAATCTTGGTTTAAGGATTAGGAATTAGGAACTAGGAATAAGGATTAGGATTTAGGATTGGGGAACTAGGATTTAGGATTTAGGATGCCCAGGGCCAAAGACGAAAAGTTCCCCAGAACCGTTTAGTTCCATACGATGGGCCATGCCACATCATGGGGTCCCCCCATTTGTTGGAAGTTCTTTAGCATTTAAGCTGATCTAGGATTTAGGATTAGGAACTAGGATTGAGGATCTAGGACCTAGGACTTAGGATTTAGGATTTAGGATTTAGGAACTAGAAATAAGGTTTTGGAATCTAAGATTTAGGATTTCTATCTGGGGTCTTCAAGGAAATGCGGGCCACTACAGGCCCTGACATGCCGAAGGCCCGAAAAGGCCGAGGCTACCCCCGACCCCAGCTTGTAGCAACTTCAACGATAGAAATACGGGCGCCCCCCCTCCCAAGAAAGTTCTTGAGGAGGACTTAAGATTTAGGATTTAAGAATTAGGATTTAGGATTTCGGAACGAAGATTAAGGGACTAGGCTGTAGGCACTTCGATTGAAAATTTAGGGCTTCCCTTTGGGACCTTCAAGTAAACAAGGGCTTCTACGAGCCTTGACACGCAGGCCCGCAAAGGGCCGAGGCTAGCCCCAAGCCCAGCTTAAACCTGAGCACCGCAACTCTAAAAAGATAGAAACAAGCATCGGTGCATAAGAAGATAAAGTCAATAAACCCTGAACCCTAATGGAGCATAGTTTGGGTGGCCGGGGTGGGTTGACAGGCAACGCGAGCGCGCAGCCCGGGCGCGTTTCCCACCCGAGCGCGCCCTCCTCTGACACACCTTTAACCCTAAACCCTAAACCCTAAACCCCAAACCCTAAACCCTAAACCCTAAACCCTACTCCTTGCACCCCCGGCACCTCCCTCACCTCTGGCGGCCTCCGCTGGAGTGCCTCCGAGAGCTCCTCCGTAGGGGGTGAAGGGTTTAAATTAGGGTTTGGGGTTTAAGGGTTTAAGGGTTTAAGGGTTTAAGGGTTTAGGGTTTAGGGTTTAGGGTTTAGGGTTTAGGGTTTAGGGTTTAGGGTTGTATACTCATTAGAATACAACTTAATACAATCTGGTATGATCTGCTAGGGTACAGTAGAATAGAGGTATAGTATAGTCTAACGCAGTACAACTTTGTACAAAACCCGGACCTTGCGGAAGGGTTTAGGGCTTAGGGCTTAGGGAAGGGTTTAAGGTTGCGAGTTCAGGGAACTTCAGCCAAAACTTCAAGCCACTGTGCATGCCATGGGCGAGGGTGCTGCAGGGATCTCAGGGGAAGAGTTCTCGGGCTCCAAGGAAGGAGGTTGCTTGCTCCTATCCGCACATGCGAGGAAGCACGGCTGCTGAGATTACCGGAAGATACGAAGTGTCTTGCCCCGGGGTATGTAGACCACCTTGCTCATCACAGAACGCCATGAACTTTGAAGCCCTAAACCTTAAACCTAAACCCGCCCTGCGCCCCGAACCTGCAGCAGGAAAAGTAGCGGGGGCTTCCAAGCGTGCCAAAACTGGGTTGCGATGACCGTCTTCCCCCTACTTAGAATCCCTGCAAACTCATGGGCAATGAGCCTTGAACCCCTACCCAGTAGCCACATAAAATAAGGGTACCCTTTTTGGGGCTGGTTTCTTTTATAAGGGAACCGAGAACCGAAAAAGAAAGGGGCCAAAGGGTGCCACTGGGCTGCCAAGAATTCCCCAAACCCCACACCCCACTTCCTTGGCTGCAGCCGTGCGAGAAGCCATCAGGCTCACCTGGGCCGGAATCATGGGGCACAGCAACCTGCTCACTTTCTCTATTTCTCTAGACTCAAGAGTGACCTGGGAATAGAAAGGGTGCCCTTTTTGGTTTACAGGGGCTTGTAGGGGAACCTAACCCCCGCAAAAAAACAGGAATCAGGGTCTACTTTGGGTCCTAGTTCCCGCGTCGTGTAGGTGGCGTGTTTAGGGTTTCGGGCTTCAGGACTTAGGCAAGAACCATTTCTCGAATTGCGAGCTCTCATGGACGTTCGAAGGCCTTAGGAGTACCCACGCCCAATTTTGGGGCGTCCATGGACTGAATCTTCAACGTTGAAATTGAGGGGCCGCGGGGGAATCATCAGGAATGAGCCTTAGAAGACTGACGGATTAAGGGCAGGAGCGTGCGGAGGCTTTGGGGGGCTCGTGCGGTGCGGCTTCGGGCTTAGGGTTCACGGTCAACCCTGATTCGTAAACCCCCCAAACCCTGAAACCCTGAAACCCTGAAACCCTGAAACCCTGAAACCCCTCAACCCTAAACCCTAAACCCTAAACCCTAAACCCTAAACCCTAAACCCTAAACCCTAAACCCTAAACCCTAAACCTAAACCCTAAACCCTAAACCCCACAAGCGTCGCCAAGCCGCTGTGCGGTAGAGCAGCACGGGATCCACGCTGCGGAAGCTGCCCAGGCGCGAGAAGTCATCCCAACCGAACTGCGAGAGCCTCGGCTGGGTTTAGGGTTTAGGGTTTGGGGTTTAGGGTTTGGGGTTTGGGGTTTAGGGTTTGGGGTTTGGGGTTTGGGGTTTAGGGTTTAGGGTTTAGGGTTTAGGGTTTAGGGTTTAGGGTTTAGGGTTTAGGGTTAAGGGTTTAGGGTTTAGGGTTTAGGGTTGGCCCTCTACTCCTTCTGACACATATTCTGTAAGCGTGAGAAAAAACGGCATGAAAAGCCAATGCAGGAGCATAGAAACCATCCCCCGAAGGCCTACCGAGTCGACATGCGAAGTAGGGTTTAGGGGCTGAAGGCTTTAAAGCCGAAAAAGGCATGGCTAATCAGAAATAAGAAGTTTAAAAATAAGAAGATGAGAAAAATAAGAAGAAGCATAAGAAGAAGGATAAGAATAAGAAGAATAGCAAGAAGAATCAGAAGAATCAGAATAATCCGAATAATCAGAAGAGTAAGAATAATCACAATGGTCGTAACCAAACACATCTCGCAAAAAAAAGAATAATGACTGGTACTAGACCCAGGAGTAGCCTGGGAAAAAGATGCCCTTGTTGAAGGCTGGTAAGGGAACCCAGGCACTAAGAAAAGGGAATAAGGGCCTACTTTGGGGCCTAGCCCCAAACCCTAAACCCTAAACCCACTGTGTGGTCTTATGGGTCTTTGGTTTAGGGTTTAGGGCTTAGAGTTTAGGATTTAGGGTCTAGGGTTTAGGGTTTAGGGCTTAGGGCTTAGGTTTAGGGTCTAGGGTTCAGGGTTCAGGGCTCAGGGTTTCGGGTTTAGGGTCTAGGGTTTAGGGGTCAGGGCTTAGGGTTTAGGGTTCAGGGTTTCGGGGTTAGGTTAGGGTTTACGGGATTTTGGGTGATTTAGAGCATTTAGGGGATTTAGGGGTTGAGGGTTTACCGGTTTAGGGCAGGGAGCATGAACCCTGAAATTCTGGTTGGGCCACAAGTGATGAAGGACACCGTCCACCGCCACGTTGGTTTGGCAAACCAAGAGGATCCTCCGGGGATCCCGCGTGGCTCGCAGAAGCCTCTGGAAGAAGGTTTAGGGTTTAGGGTTTAGGGTGTAGGATGTAGGGTGTAGGGTTTAGGGTCTAGGGTCTAGGGTTTAATTAGGGTTTAGGGACTAGGGATTCAGGGGGCTTGGGGTAGACCCGAAGCTGCGAATTCTACATCCTATACAACCTAAACCCTGTAATCCTACATTCTCAGCCCTATGCCCGAACCCTACGTCCGAAACCCCAAACCCTGAATCCGCACACCCACACTCTGAACCGGAAACCCTTCAGACCGCCCGAGCCTGAAACCCTAGAACCACAGCACACGGTTCAGGGCGTGGAGGTTCCACACGGGCCGCATCCCCCGACAAAGTCAACAAGCGACTTAAACCCCTGACGAGGAAAAAGCAAACCTCCAAACCCTGAACCCTGAACCTTGAACCCTGAACGCTGAACCCTGAACCCTAAACAAAATCCCACGAAAATCGAACTAGAGCAATAAGTTACATTCAGGAACCTGGTAAAAATGCAGAAAGCAAGAAGACACCTAAACTCGAAAGAACGTGCACCGATGATTGCTGCGGTGCCTGCTGAGCGCGGTCTCAACCCTCTTCCTGGGGTCCTTTTGCGACCCAACTTAGGGATTAGCGCTCAGGGTTGAAGCCATGCTTTCTGATGGCCTACGGAGGCCGAAAACCCCAACAACCCCTTGAAACCCTGAACGACTCATGCGCAGGGAAAGAGGGTTCAGGGGTTCTTCGGTTAAAGTTGAAATGCCCACAGGGAAAAAGACACAGGATTGCAGAAGTGTTTGGACTTGAAGGTTGGAGGGGTAGGGCTTGGTAGGTGTTTTCATGCATCGGTGTTGCCTAGACCGCAAGGGAGATAACCGGGAGCATACCGAGGCATGCACGCTTCGCGGTCACCGGTCGGCTTCGACCTGCCCTCACACCCGGCCACCGGTGTGCAGGGAATGCGCGGTGGGTGTGGCGAATCCCTGTGGGTAAGGCCTCCCCTGTCTTGCATACAGAACCACAACCTGCAAGGAAAGCAGGTGCCAATCCAAGCGTCATGGGGGCGTTTCACCAGAAATTGCCGGGATTCTGAGATTTCGGGTAACCGCAAAACTTTGCCACCAGCGTTCGGGTTCATGCATCTGTGTTGCCTCTATCGTTCGGGATTGGGCGTAGGGATTTCTGGTGTTTAATTGGCGACCTGCATTGCCGATTCATTAAGAGTGGGCCTCCCCTCTGTTCTGGTCAGCCGTTTCCCCCAGCAGGCACGTTGGCCCATTTGTCCTGCTGTCATGCATCCCACACCAGGACACGTTGGCCGGAAAGGAAAGAACCGGGAGCATACCGAGGCATCGGCTTCGACCTGCCCTCACACTCGACCACCGGTGTGCAGGGAATGCGCGGTGGGTGTGGCGAATCCCTGGGGGCAGGGCCCGCCGCTGTCTTGAATTTGGCGGGAACATGCAGGAGACCGCCAAGATGCAAAACTCACGAAGCCTCCCGTAACAATCACCTCTCAGACGAGCTTTACCGTCACACATGCAAAAACCAAAACCCTGCAGTAAACCCCGCAACCTCAACTCCAAACCAACAATTAAAGGTTCACTGCAGTTATACATTGGTTCAAAAATCAAGGTTAGTTTGACCTAAACCCTAAACCCTAATCCTTAAAATTCCCGCCTGTCCAGGGAGACGATGCAAGCTGCCAAGGTCCGACTCTTCCTAGGCTGAGGACCCCTCGTGCAAGGCGATTAGAAAGTTCAAAACTGCCATATGACCATACTACCATAGTACCATACTACCACACTACCGTATTGCTATATCACTATCTTTCTTTACTATACTACCATATTGCTACATTGCTACAATATAATTATGAATATTTGTGTTGAAAAAAAAACTTCAAAGGCCACAGCTTCCCCGAGCCGAAGACGCCCCTCACGAGGACCGGGGTGCCACCCGACGGACCTGCGAGCGACAAACATCTTGCTTCCGCACCCCAACTGGGCTTAGGGCTTAGAACTTAGGGCTTAGGGCTTAGGGTTTTAGGGCGAAGGGCTTAGGGTTTAGGGTTTAGGGTTCAGGGCTTAGGGTTTTTAGGGTTTAGGGTTTAGGGTTTTAGGGGTTTAGGGGTTTAGGGTTTAGGGCTTAGGGTTTAGGGTTCAGGATTTAGGATTTAGGGTTTGGGGTTTAGGGTTTAGGGTTCAGGGTTTAGGGTCGGGGGGATCAAGGGTCTCGAGCGCATTGACGGATGGCCCCTTGCACATGCCCTGGCGCGGGTCCTATGGCTTGGACATGGCTGCTAGACCCTACTTGGAGGTTCAGACTACTTGAAACCCCAGTTCTAACTGTACTTATCAGCCCCCTGAGTCCCCTAAGTAGGTTATAAGTAGACTTGAACCTCCAAGTAAGCCCAAAATCCGAAACCCTAAACCTCAAAGGTTTCAGGCTATGTCCTTGGGACTGCGTTGAATAAGGGCTTCGGGTTTCAGGCTTCCTTTCCAAGTAGGACACGGCCCTGGAACGGTTTAGCAGGGCTGAGGGCGATTGTTACGTTAGGGTACTCACCCCTGAAAACCTTGAAAAATGTGCATCAACCCTCGGCATTTTTTGCAGGCATCTCCGAAAACAAGAGGCAGAAAGAACTCAAATCCTGAAATCCGAAAGCTGAAACCCTCAGCGCACCTCCCCCCAAACCCCTCGCCGTAGCGGAATAAACAGCTCCCGGGCAGTTTCAGGGTTCAGGGTTCCGCCACATACCCTAAACCCTAAACCC